CACGGATGGACAGGACGTGACAACTGGAGCATTACAAAACGTATAAGCCGGTAATCAGACAGTCTCGTGTTGGAGTGAGGGATTTTAAGTGCCGAAGATCGCGGAATATGATCCAATTAGATCGCAAAAAGGGTCAGAGCGAATTTACTTGTTTAAGGTCACGGGTGAGATAGGGACGAGACGATGGTAAACGATGGAGCAATCGCACAGTATAAGTTCTGTGGCAGAAATGATTGTCCGGTTTTAAAATAACCGTATCTATCAACTAACTACTTGCCAGTAATCAGTGACGCACAACTAGGCTTTCCGCATCGACCTTGTTCCTCACATTTATTCATAATTCTCCCCCTTATCATATTCCATGAAAAGGGCAAGACAACTTATATCGAGCATAAAGTTGACCTTAAGTAGATGTAAACATATATATACCTCTGGAAAACGTCGGTCAATCAGTTATACACTACCACATATATATATATATATAATTTAATATATATATATATATATATATATAACGAAATTCACGCCACAATATTTCTATAATTCGCCGTTCCGAAAATAATTTGTTGTCACACGTTTACCAGTTCAGGAGTAAACGGAAAACAGATTTTGGTAGCACAATTGTTGAACATCTTTCATAAGTATATTCTTCAAAAAAAGAACGACTGAAAAGAATTTGAGAGTTTCATGTGAGCCGGCGTTAGAACAATTTACCCATTATTGCATAGACAATCCGAATGGTATGATCTTTATGTTAAACGCCGGTTATTTCAGTCGGGGTAGGTGGTTACCGAGAGGGCATGTTCGGGAATTCTACTTATCTGTCTACATAAAGTTACTCAATATCCCATGCAAACGATGAATATCATGTATTGTTTGCCTGAAAGCTAACGCTCAAACTTGATCAAATTTGCACTGGCCCGGGCTCCGAACTGACGGGTTGTGCTTGTTTTTCTTATATTTTACTTTACTCTGCACTCTTTTAAAATCATCAATAAATAAGTCAGTGTTACTAAATCCGTCACGGATCGGGTGGTTCTGACCTGCTTCGAATATTGCCTATGTATAACTGCTGATTTTTTATGTTTACGATGTATAATCTTTAGTATCACTCATTCTAAGATGCTCTAGATGTCGGGCGTCTTGCTCTTCATCAAATTCCTTGCTTTTTCACGAAGTTAGTGTGTTTTCTAACCTAGACATTTTAATTTTTATTTAAGAATATTTTATTTTGGCTCCATTGTATATCTTCGTGAGAATCATTCGAGTGATTATCGTAAGTTCAAACAGATTCATCCAGTAATACAAATGAGGTTATTGTGACGAAAATATATCTTCTGGATATAAGTATATGAATGAACTGAAAAAAGATTACCGGATACGCATGACTGACGAGTGGCAAAAACCCCGAAGAAACCGGGTGTGTGCTTTCAGGATAATTTTATCCAGTCATTCATATACCACTTATTGTAATACATATATATATATATATATCACCTGCTTACGAACAAGCTTATGCTAATGCAACAATAAGAATAACAGAACATTTGGGGTTGCATTACATGGAGCAATGAAGAACGGAGCAAACGCAGCAGAATGCGAATAAATCGGACAAATGGGATTAGATAAACAAGAGCCACTGTTTACGATATTCAGACACAATATACAGTATCATCAACATTCCCATTATTATTTGAGTCAAATGATATCGTAACTTTTTGAGTCAAAGTTTGAAAGATCGGGAAAGTTTGTTCTTCATACAGTTTTTTCTTCAGTTCTGCTTTTCTCATCTCCACGTCGTCTACTAAACTTAATGCAGTCTCGTTAGCGCTAGATGAACATACGCGAACGTGACGACTATTTGTTGCCGTGTGTCTGTGTGTATCCGAAATCATTGGTGAAAGATTTCTTTCAATTAGATCGGTTCTCCACTTTCCGAATCATCTAACCATAGAGGATCCAGCTTAAAAAATCGGANCGGAGCCTCTCGCCCCCCCCCCCGTAACGGATAATATCGACCGGGAAGACTTGGTTCATGAAAGAAATCAGGTTCATCTGAGTGTCCGATCAGATTGTGAGAGATGTAACTACTGGTTGTGTATTCGTGTGTGAGTTTGTACGTCAGAATTGACCATATCCGTCAGTAATTCTCTTCCTTCAGGAACGTGCTTTCTAATGTACAAGTGTATTTTCATTTGTTAGACCCGATCACCGACCAAAAGCGAGAACGAGCTATTATGTGAGTATTCCCAATTATGGGTTTGTTTCTCCACTTTGGCCAGTTGAAATTTCTTTCGAACAGATCCGGTGTATCCTGTATGCTGAATAGCGTATTTCTCACGTGTTCCTTTAGGTATTCCACATTCCGAAAAATCCAACAAATCAGATGATTCTGGCATGGATAGTGATGAAGCGTCAGACAGTTCGGGACATAAAACGACGCATCGAACGAAGAAGAATTCGATCTATGGTTGTGTGCACAAAAATATGCCCAAAGTCGCGGGAAATTTGAAATGGGCAAGTGAATTGGGTCAGCGAATCACCATTCCAGTAGAGTTGGTTGACCAAATAGATTTACCGTAAGTTGCAAACTGATATTTAAATATTTTTTTATATTTTATACGCGTCAGAGTTTCGACTGTGGGCCAAATACAAATCGCGTTACGATAGTCTTTATAATTAACAATTTTCTGCCACATCTGACCTCTCTCTTGATCCCTCAACTTTATCGATCGCCCCACACTGTGGAACTGTTTGCGGAGATACGGAGCAGTCGAGAAGTACGTTTTACTAATGAAAGCTCTCTATCAGCAGACCTTGGGGAAGATTGGGGCCCATGGTGAACTTTCACTCTCATTTCTTGTCACCAGTGGGGTACGATAAGGTTGCCCTATCGCTCCGTTTCTCTTCAACTTTGTCATAGATGATGTTCTACAAAACGTGTTACATAACGTAACGAACGCTGGCGTTGAGCTTCTTCCTGGAGACAGAGTCGTACACTTAGATTATGACGATTATATTGCCTTACTGGATGACAACGCACCGACGATTCAAGAGTCGTTGAATCGTTCGGCAATTGAGATCACTCGCTATGGTATGTCCTTTGCACCTCCAAAGTGCTAAGGGTTGTTGCAAGATTGGCAGGAACCCATTCCTGTACTTTCGTTGGGTAATGACATTCTGGACGTATTCGAAAGCTTTGTCTACCTTGGTAGTTGTATAACGGCTGGTGGAGGTGTGGACGAGGAAACCTCTTAACGTGTGATGAAAGCTAGACTAGCTAATCTGCAGCATCTCTGGCGCCGGCGTGACGTACACCTTTTACTGAAAGGGCGTGTGTCGCGTGACGGTACGCATCGTGTTGTTCTATAGCTGCGAGACCTGGCCTCTCCGAGCAGATCATGTTCAACGACTATCCTTCTTCGACAACCGTTGTCTACGCAACATCACCCGCGTATGGTGGGAGCATCACGTGAATAACGATACGATCAGAAGACGTGTGCTAAGATCTCTCCCGTTGAGCAAAACAATTTCACAGCATCGTCTTAGGTGGCTAGGATACGTCTTAGGAATGCCTGAGCAACGTCTCGCACACCGTGTACTATTCGCAGACATCGGTCCAGGCTGGAAGAACCAACGAGATGGGCAGGCTATGACGCGGCGCAGAGGGTTAAAGAGACTGTACTCTGATCTGGTTTCCGTTGGGGCTTCCCGATTCCCCGACTGGGGCTCCAAAGATTCAGGTTATCTTTGGCTGGACACAATGTGGGATATGACAACGAACCGAACAACGAAAAAAAAACTCAAAATGGCGTTCAGTAAACAAATAAAAAGTTTGTTATTCCCCCAAGTTGTCTGTTTTTCCCCGCTTCTGTACCTATATTTTTCGTTAACCCATGAATATTTTGGCGCCGTATCTGTATCTTATATATATATATATATATCACGTTCGTCTTTTCCATTTGACTCTCTAGTAGTATCCCGGTTAAACTGTATCAAATAACTGAGGGTTTTGTCGATGCTAATCCTCATTGAACCTCTCACATTCAACCTATGATCAGTAAGCTTCCACAACTTTCTTTTTATATCCGTCAACTTTGACAGTTCTGTATTCAACAGGATATCATTTCCAAATTTGTGTATCAGTGTATTTTCTCTTTTTTACTTTATTGTTCACCTTTTGGATTTTGCAATCTCTTAAGTAAAGATTTTAAACTGCTTCGATGTGGACTGATCGGCCGTTAGCCGCGTATCTTCAGTTCCGCTGGAGGAATTGGTAACTAACCTGTGCGAACGTCATTTGAATACATGTGACAAGTTTCCACGTAAGATTGTTATCCACCCCAGACATCTGCTACACACAGATCAAATTTCCTGTTGTTCCCATCCGTCACCTAGATCCCAATACCGATGCATTCCCTCTCAAATTAACATATATCGTAACTCTACGGTACCCTCACTAGCACGTATGCTAGTTACAAAAGAACAGGTTTCCACAGATTTTGTCAACAGTTTCGGAATTTAAGTCCTTCTAATTATTTTTTTTAATTTTTTTCTCTCTGTCTCCATCTTATAGGCTTTATGCCTACAGAATTTATTACAAAAAAAATTATTTTTTATGACTTAGGTAGGTTAGGTTGAAGAAAGCCACATATGATCAGGCTCCAAACTGATCGTGTGGTGTTTTCGGGTGCGGATTGAGGCACTTTGGACAGGTCCAATTCATGATCAGAGAGAGAGGTTGAGTATCATAACCAATAACTCTCATGTGTATTTTCACACACGTGCCCGCATCGAACAACATTCTGTCTACTGATTCAAATGTTAACCATCGTTTAAATTCGGTGGAAATGTGTGCGATAACCGACAAAGCGCACACTGGACAGCTATTTCGTCCTGTTTGGGACGCGTCAGCAGGGTGTACTTTTTGTGTCCCCCTGTCAGGACTCGAACCGTGAACCTTCGGGTTGGGACTTCAAACCCTTACTCCTGAGCTACACGGTCAACGTTGCCTGGTGCCTGTGAAAAACCGAATGGGTTAATCCAAACGTTCACCGTCTAAAGTTTATCACCACTCTTTTTCTTGGTTCTTTCTCTATCGGTTGACCGAACTGGTGTCCTATGGACACCTGCTCAAACCGGCCCATGAAAGCGCACGTCTAATGATTACATATGCTGAAATCCCAGTGGTGCATACATCGAAACTTCGATTTGTCAATCATACAGTTGAAACCCGAAAATTTGTAATCCTCTGGTAATGTTCTGTTTCCTATGTAATCACAAAGTCAACAAAGGACGGCTAAGCAGCATATTTTTGTAAAAATCACCAGCGTTGAATACAATACGATGAAATTTATACTTGTCATTCGTTTCCTCAGTTTCTAATCCCTTGCATCAATTTTTCCATCCCTAATCTCTAGAATTTTCTCCACAAAAGAAGGCGCTCTTGTGCTGAAGAAATATCATCAAATTATGGATCTTTTGAAATCGTGAGTGTTTTCCTGGTGGACAGATTATTATTATTATTATTATTATTATTATTACTATTATTTCTTCTAGAATGGTTTTGATTTCGGATCATTACTAATTCATTCGCATCTATATATCTATCTATGCTCTTTACAATAGTTATCAAGTACAAGTATTCAACGATTGGGCGAAAGATGTGGACTCTATCTG